AGATGACTTAGATTATTATTCAGTGAATATCCACTCCCTTCTCCCTACTATTATAGGTATTTATTTCTTATTTATTATTTTCTCACTGATGTTGGGCTTGGCTATATGTTTTTGTTTTTTTTTTTTTTTTTTTTTTTTTTTTTTTTTAGCAATAAAAGTAAAAATGACAGTGCACCAGATCTAAACCTGGACCTTAAGAAGTTGCTTGTGTTTTTTGCTGTATTCCTGCAACTGCCCCCCAAATGGCAATATTCCTCCCTAGTAGCTTGCTGGTCCCAGTAGAGTAAGAGGGTCATCCCAGCTGACCTGCAGACCTGCAGCTTGAAATAGAGATACCCTAGCTGCTCTGTAGGTCTATAAGAATGAAGATAAATGGCTATTCTCCTCTAGTGAGTTTTTGTGACTTCTTGCTATACAAAAATAGGGATGGATACAGTGGTCCTTGCATTAAAATAACCTCCCTCTGGCATTCTGTTATTCCTTATTTGTACTGTGCTCATACATAAATGACAACAATGGATATGGTTTATGCTGACAGAAAAGTCGAATACATATCATTATATACATTTTACAGACTAAAATAATAGAATATCAGAGAAGTAAAACGATCTGCTTAAGCTCACTTGGCTAGTGAATACACTCTGGGAAACACTGTTCTTTTTTGCTCAAAGTCCACTATTTTTTTTTCTACCATACCAGTTACTCTGGTAATAAAGCTACAAAAGTGTCTGTTTTGGTTCTTATGATTCTTAATGTGTTTTCACATTTTAGTACCATGCCTAGATCATTGTAGACATTTAACTGATGTTGATTGAATGAATTAAAGAATGAATGAATAAGTACTCAAGAAATCTATATGTGGTTAGAGGGTAAAAGTTTTCCTGATCTTTTCAGCTATAAAATGAGTAGACACTTCTCTTGTTACAACCTTCTCAGTTTCATTCTGTGAGTCAAAATCCATTCCATTTCATTAGGGATAAACTTCAGCAAATTGGCCCCTGTCCATGCCTTTATTACAGGTTCAGGGAAACAAAGAGGTTACATGTATAAGAATATTAGGAGAAAACACAGTGTCTTATCAAGAAAGGGAGAGAGAGAGGGTGAGCGCACACATGCACACACCAATCATATGTGTTTCGTGTCCTATCTTTTGTCATTTATTTCACACATATATCCGTAGCACCCAGGTAGACAGGAACAATGGAATGCTTGGTAGTTGCGCTATGGAGGTCTTCTGAATCGCATATATGGGCCTGTTTATATGACAGTCAATAGTGGGATGAGAAAGACAATGAAGCAGGCAAAGTTGGGGCAGACAAAAAGGAGGTCAAAAAAGACAAAGTAAAAGTCCTCTTCTCTGAAGTAGAACCTCAAGAAATAGGGCAAACACCATTTGAAATATTTTTAATTTTCTCCCACCATTTTAAAATGGGCAGATTGTCATTATACAACAAATTTTGCTTATTATTCTTAAAACTTTACCAGATATGGTCAAAGAGAATGAAACAAACTTGGTTGGCATATACTCCTGGGGTAACATTGTATATAGGGCCAAGTAGTGTCAGGGGTCTCTAAATAAAAAAAAAAATAAAAGGGGCTTTAGTATATCCCTATTATTCTTGAGTTAAAGCTAAATCTCTCTGGCATGGTTCTCAAGCACATTCAAACCTCTTTTTTAAATAAAATAACCTAATTTCTGATTATTTTTTCACATTCTACACACCAACATTCTAACAACAAACTTTGAGATATTGAGGGTTTACTTTTCTTTTCTCAGTTTTTTAGAAACATGTGTTTGGTTTAATGAAATTTTGACCCAAGACAAATTCCCATGGATGAAATTAGCTAGATGGAATTATTTTTTCTAATTCTTTACTCCCTCCTTATAATAAAAATAATAAAATGATATATTCATGTACTTGCTGTGATATGTCTTAGTAGAAGAGATTAAGTTTACTTCCCTGCTCCAATCATGTAAGGCTTGGCTGTGTGTTTTGTTTGGAAAGTGGTATACTGGTCAATAGATGAGTAGAGGGTTTAAATGTGCTCACGTGGCTTAGATTGGTCTCTTGCAGTTCTGCTGTTCATCATTGGAAGAACTTTTCACAAATACTTTCTGTGCTCAAAATGTCAAAGAAGTACATTTTACATATAAAACTTGAAGCATTTGAAGTTCAGCCTGGTTCAGCCAAGCCTGATCAAAATCAGCTGAATTGTAGCCTATGCATAAATCCTTGGGCAAGAAAAATTAAGTTTGTTTTTCTGCATTACTGAAATGAAGGTTTTCCCGTTCAGAATTGTTACTGCAAGAGTTGCTGAGTATACTGTAATTTCATTGCCATTTTCCGAGGTATTACATAATTCTTTTTTTTTTTAATTTATTTTTTAGCATTTGGCAGACACAACATCTTTGTATGTGGTGCTGAGGATCGAACCCGGGCCCCACGCATGCCAGGCGAGCGCGCTACCACTTGAGCCACATCCCCAGCCCCGGTATTACATAATTCTAAACTATGGGAAGTTTGCCTGATAGTAGAGATCCAAGCTTGCCTAAGTATAATAAATTTCATACACAGCCTTTTATAGTAATAACTCTCAATAGGCACATTTATTGAGTATCTACTATGTGTCTAGTACTTCATTAAATCTAATACCAAACCATGTAGAAATGGAAATAAATTTTTTGAGAAAATTATGAAATATATTGAGATATTTTCCTCACTTGATTACTAACACCCAGATACTTTATTTTTATACAAAGTCTCTGATAGAAGATTTATCTTTTAGAAATCAACTTTAATACTAATTTGATGTCAAATGCTTTGGGGCTGATCTTAACTCTTGTTTAGTTTGTCTTATGATTTGTAAGAATTTCATTTTTCCCCATCTGTCTTTGAAGAAGTTTCCCTTTGTCCCAAAGCAGGTGGGAAAAGCAGTGTATTTGTCATTGCAAGGAAAGACTTGAGAAAGTGCTTCAATAAGTTGCTTATCTGCTTTGAGCTCAGTGTTCCCATATTTCAAATGGGAACATTAATAAATTCCACTTTATCAAGTAGTTGTGAAGATAATTTAAAAACTATAGAAGTATTGAATTTATAGCTCAAACATTCTTTCTAGGAAAAAAGGGAAAAAAGAAAACAAAGAACAAAAATCCATGAAAATTTTACCTTGTCTTAAAGGGCCATGCATATTATATCTGTAGTTAAGTTTCTTCTAGTCATACAAAATTTTTTTTGTTTTGTCTTCATGTTGGTTTAATATTGTATCCTTCCTTGCCATGATGGTTGATTGAAAGGGGAAAATGAGCTTTTTTTTTTTTTTTAAATCTTTCTGTGACTGTTATTATCTCCTGCTTGAAACAGCGAAGAGGTCTTTTATTCAATCTGTCTTTTGTTAGCTTTATTAGAATCTAGGTTTGTTTCCTTTTTAGCTAGGTCCATGAGGCATGGCATATAGAATGTACCCATCAACAGCCAGATCAAATATAGAATGTACCCATTTAATAGCCAGATCAAATATAAAATGGTTTAATCACAGGTAATATGTAGAAAAAGCATGATTTATAAAGTCTGTCAGTCCTATACTTCAGTCTGGCTACTTCACGCTTACAACCTTCTAAACTTTTATGAGCTTCAATTTCCTCACTTGTCAAAGTGATAATTCTTGTTTCATGGGGTTTCTCAAAGGATTAAACAAGATCCATAAGTTGACTCTTCTTCATTTTGAACTTCAAAGCAAAGAAATCCCATAAACACTATAAATTACCATCTCCAATCTGAAAAACATGGATTCGTATATTTTCCTTGGCTTAAATTTGTTCATGGTCCAAAGTAATTTTTGGAAATATTTGAAAATGTTGCACTGTCTTTTTTTTTTTTTTTTGATAATCAGCTTTGAATTTACAATGTGAAGAAACAGAATTCAGATGGTGATGGCAAAATGTACTTCTCTGGCCCTGCAGTCAACCATAAATTCAAGGAACTCATTTGAAAAAAAATCACTTTTATTTTTGTCCCTTCTCCTTAGCCAGTGTCATGTTTCCTTGGCCTTTCTTCTCAAGGACAAAAAAGAACTAAAATGAAATGTGTTTACATGGGAAAACCAAAATAATTTTGGTTAAAAGTCTGCTTAATTAGATCTCTCAGTGTCACGTACCATCCTTGAAGTGACAATTTCAGTGGAAAGGATGCCTTTCATATTGTTTTCTTTACTAATAAATATATTTTACAAATTAAAGCATTATATTGTTTTTAGGGATCAAAACCAAAATTCAAAGAACATTTCATTCTTCTAATATTTCTAGTAGATATGAAAGACTGCCAAGTCTATCATTATAAATCTCAGATGAATTGAAAGAAATATAATGAAGACTTTGCCCCTCTTTTAAACAAATAAGTTACCATGTTTTGTAGTTTCTGGAATCTACTAAATGTTCCACAAATATTCCAGGCCCATGTAATGATATCAGTTGCTTGTGCTAAGGCAATTGCCCTTTCATATTAATTCAGACATATCCATAGTTCTAAAGTATAAAACTTTAAATTTTGGAGTCTATCAATGGAGGTCCAAGGACAATTTTTTTTTTAATTTTTTATTAGACTTCTGAGGCAAGAAGTCTAATCAAAATATCCTTGTGATGTGAACTTTCCATTAGCTTGTTCATTAACTTCTTTACCATGAAGGCTCCCTGATTCCATTCCTTAGGCAGATTTGGTGGCTCTATAGTACTTGTACACTCTCCATTCTCCACTGTGGCTCCCTACTGCTGTATTATACAGAGTTAGAGTTAGTTACATGTCTCTTATTAGATTATCATCTTTTCTAGGAAGGTCATGAAGGGGCCCTGCTCACCAGTGTTTCCACAGTACTTCACACATGGCAGGCACATAGGAGGCATTGTATATTTGAGTTGACTTTTTTTGGATGAATGAATGAATGAATGAATGAATGAACAAATCTTACAGAGTTGAAGCCTCATTGCTTTTCAGTGAATTCTTCTGACTTCCTCACTTCTGAACTATGTTCCTGACATCTGGAAACCATTAAAAACTGGGGAAAAAGGAAAATGTTCAAAGAAGCAGAATCAGTTGTCTTTTCAAGCTTCATGCATTGGGAAAGTCCTTCTGTCATCCACCCAAGGAAGACACGAGAAAAAGTGAGTTTCCAGCTGCTTAGAAGAGAGATTGGTGATGTTTACCATGTCATGGGAACCACATAGGAATTGGACAAGGATCAGAATTCAAGGTGCTTCCCCCCCCTTCCTTTCATGATATTATCAATCAAAAAATGCTTTCCAAGGACATTATAAAATGATTCAAGGATTGTTCATGCTACTGTTCCCTGATTACTGCAGTCAATCAAGAATCCATTTTATATTATTTCAACATGATGCTACTTGGTTAACTCAGCTGCATACCTAACAGAGTCTTTGATTAAACACATTATTTGGAATTCAGAGAACATTGGTCTCATTCACTTAGTACACAGATCTCCCTTTGCAAACGACCCGCTAAGCACCACCCAGCACTTCTCATTTTAAATAAAATGTAATTCTGCTTTATAGGAAAAGAAACAGTTCTATCCTAATTGTGTGTATTGTCTCCTTTATACTTTTATAAAGAAAAATATTTCTATAGTTTACATAAGAATGTAGTGCTCTTTCACATACATTTTCAAGGTATTTTTTCATTCAAACAATTTATTCATTTTTATGGTAAGCTAGGGAATGTGGTGTTCATAACAGCTGTTATCCTCCCTCATTCATCAGGGATACCTACCCCATTTATCCCTAAGCCCACAGTTGGAGAAAACTGCTTTTATTATTATAGCTATTCATCTAAATCAAGAGGGCACCTGAAAATTTTCAAACTCTTGTCTATTAGTTGGTGCAGTTGTAGTGAATATGGATAGAGGTTGCTTGTGTACTTTTAATTACTCAAACTCAATTTATCCTAAAATAAGTTTCACTGGCTTCTTTCCAGGTTTTCTGCAGTTGTAGAATTCTAGTGGCCTTACCTTGGAGAATGTTTTGGATTTTATTTTTGTGATTAACAACACTTTTTATGTTCAAAAATTTACATTTACTATATTTAAGATCATGCTCTATTTTATCAGGGACTTTTATACCTATTTACAAAATTATATGATATAAAGCATTATTATGATGGATTAGAATGAAAGATCTGAATTTACAGGGTGGGTATACATCTGTATTATCTGTATTGGTTATCTATTGCTACAATAATGCTGCATAATAAACCTCCTAGGTGGCTTACAACAACAACAAAGAAATGATTCGTCAGGTATAGAGAGGGCTTACTCCTGTGTCTATGGTAAGTTTTTTTTTTTAATATTGGCTGGAGTTGCTCAGCTTTGGGTGTACTCTCAGTTGATCTAAGATGGTCTTGGTTGGGAAGACAAGAGTGAGCATCTCGGCTCAATTTCCACATACCTTCATTTTCTAGTAGCCTAGCTCAGGAATGTTTTCATAGCAGTATAAAGGGCAGTAGCAAGATGGTCTATTTGCACAAGTATCTGTCAATCCTCTGCTCACATAATGTTTGCTAATATACCATTGACCAAAGCAAGTAATATGACTGAGCCCAAAGTCTAAGTGAGCAGATACTGCAAAGTTACAAGACAAAGGGCATGGAACTAGGGAAAAGTGAAGAAAGTCTTTGCAAGTAGTTGATTATAGAATATTCCATTCTAAGCCTGTATAAAGCCTGTTTCTACTTTGCATGGACTGTTCGCATTTCTCCCCTTTCCTTGTTCCTCACAGATTTAAATAACTTATGCTCTTGCATGCTGGTGTGTGCTAGTGCGCTCTCGCTCTCTCGCACGCTCGCTCTCGCTCGCTCGCTCTCTCTCTCTCCATCCATCCTGGGCTCATTTTTATTTTCCTTTGCCAGATTCCGTTTGCCTCTCCCTACCCCTTATCCTTCCTTCTTACAGGGAAACGGAACACAAATCTAAAATTCTTATGCACATAGGTAAATTGCTTGAAAGGAGTGTTTTGGGTGGGGAGGGATGTCTTTGGAGTTCTCATTTCTGATTAACTCCTTAGAAATAGAAATGTTGAAGCCTCTTTCTCCAGAAACTTAATAGCGTGGGCGGTTCTGATGTGGGTAGGAATGGGGGAAGAGTCAGACTTAAGTTGTCCTGAAAGGAAAAAAAAAGGAGGGAGAGAGAAAGAGAGAAAGCACTCTGTGAACCAAACACAGAAGCAAAACCTAAATAGATTTCCAATTTTTTATAAAAAAAGTTTTCTCCCAAATTTACCAACTGGAAATTTGAACTGGGCTTTTCTTTTTAATTAAGGGTTTAGAATATACATGTATGCAGGTGGTATTTTAGTTGGTAGTATGTGGTGACAATCATTGTTGCCATAGCTACCTTAAAAGTATTCAACAGAATATCGCTTCATGTTGGAACTTCAAATAAAGGCTGTAAAAGTTCTATGCTCCTCATATAGATTTAATTTAAAGGGAAAAAGGGCTTCTATATTCAGGATGAAATCTGTTTCTTAATCTGTCCCTGAAAATATGGTTCAGTGTTCAAAACAGGTCAATGCAGTCGGGAGTAATTTCTTTAATAGGTTTAAACTGAGTTCATCTAGCTCCTTGCATAGACTTGGCTTACAAAACACTAACTGTATAACAACTTAGCAAAGTGAAATATATTAAAGTGATTTATTATGGTAAACATTTAATGAGGTTTCAGGCTTCTGACTGGTTTCAGAGAAAAAGCCCTGCCAGTATATTATGCTCATGCAATATGTCAATCCTTGATTCAGAAAAAAAAAATGTATCTATAAAAGCCTCATATACAATAACATATACTTTTAGAAGGCTCAAAGACATTTTTTAAAATTTTACTTCCATTAATCTATCTTGGGACAGCCTGGGCTGGATTCCATGTGGTTAATTCAAGTGAAATGGCAATTATGCCTCTCAAAGCATATTATGTATTATGTTTAAGACATTGGAAAGTTTGATATGATTCCCCAGTTCTCTGACCCAAACCTCCTTCTCTTTAAATTAGACTTAGATTTCTTTTCTACCTACTGTTTCAATGGATCATTTCCTTATCAATTAGAACCTCCTAGCCTAAATTTCTTTATAAGAAAAGTGAGGCTGTAATATCCACTTTACAGTTTTGTAAGGATTGAAGGATTGTGTAAATGAAAGTGATCAATATGCTCTTATGTGCCATACATATATAAGGACTTATCATAAACTGATGGTACACTAAAAATAGGGAAAATTCAGATAGATTTCCCCTAAGGAACTTTGATATTAATCCTTGATGAGGGCAGAATTATTGTACAATAATAGAGCGTGAACTCTGATAAGCTTTTTCATTTTCATGGCATGGATTTCCAGGTATTCCTGGGTAAATGGAGTCTCTAACAAGACTTAATTTTCACTTTTTGTAAGTCGGTTCCAAACCTTCAGATTAGGATTTGAAGATGCTTGACTATTAATCTGAGGCTGCACCAGCTGAGTGGCTTTAAAATGTGGGGCTGGACAGTGATTCTATGGTCCTGTTGAAATTATGACACCCTCTAAGTTCAGTTCATTTAATTTCTCATATTAGCTTTGAAAAGGGGCTATGTGACATGTATTTACTTACGTTGAAATTAGAGTATGTTTGGTTTGAGAGGTGCTTAGAATTTCTGAGATCCCTTGAAAGCTTAAGTTATCATCAAAACAGGAGTTGAAAAAGTTTGTTTAGATACTATCTGCAATGACTTGCTGTTGGGTTAATGGCCATTGGGGCACAGGGTGATTGGCTGTGTCTACTCATGAATGACTGCGGTGTTCATTCTGCTGCTTCCCAGTTCCTATTCAAGTGGTGAAAATGGAGCTGGTCTGAGGCACACAGAAGGTTATGTTATTTTCTGAAGAGAAGGTTTTCAGTTCCTTGGTGACTGGAAGGAAACAAAACAAAAATTAATCATTGTTTGGCTTTATTTACAATTAAATTATTAATTGTTAAAAATAAAACTACTCATTCAATTGTGACATCAGATTCATGAGAGGGTTAGGGAAATGAATGCTTTTCTGTGTTGATGTTGAAGTGATAATAGCATAACTGCATATGTTTAAAAATGTATCTGCATCCTGTATGTGTATTTTATATATATAAATATATACAATGTTCAAAATAGATAATGTGGAGCTGCATTGCTTACTATTGTAGCCACTAGGCATATATAGCTATTTAAATTTAAAATCACTTCAGATAAAAAATTACTTCCTCAATTACCATAGATGTATTTTAAGTACTCAGTATCCATATGTGACCAGTAGGTAATGAGTTGAACAATAGAGAATCAAAATATTTCTGCCATCACAAAAAGTTCCATTAGATAGTGCCTGTATAGGGAAAAGTGGGAATATTTTCCTCCACTAACTAAAATGTGAGTTGTTTTAGGAGAAATATTAAGAGGCTTTGGTATTTTATGCCCTCAGAGAAAATTTAGGATAGTCAACTTACCTGCTTCAAAATTAAGAATGAGTCATAAAACATAATTGAATAGCTGCAACAAATTAGAAAATGCAAATATAGTTTCATATTAGTATGCAGAGGGAAAAAGGGTGGGGACAGTAAGAGAGATAAGAGAGACTCAGTCATTTAGATGTCCACATATATGCACATGTAGAGACAGATGGGGGAAAGAAAAGGGTGCATAAACACTGAGGCCCTGGGACAGAGAGGGATAAAGAAAGGTGGACAGCAGCAGGAGGAGGAAGGGAAATAGAGGAATCAGAGGAAAATACCAGGAGGATTTCACCAGCTCCAAGATGTATGTTCACTGAAGGTCACAGATCAGAGCCCAGTGTTGCTGAAAGCTAACATCTTTTATCTTCTGCCCTATCACTTATTGATGGGTCCCTGCTGCCAGCATTTGAAATGCTCTGAAGTGAGCTCCTTGGAGCTGATGTTTTCAACCTAGTTCTTTGGGTCCTAGATGGCAGTTCTTAGGGAATGGTTATCAGAGCAGCAGCAGCATTAATAAGAACCAGTTAGACATGCAAATCCTCAGGTTCTACCCACCTCGACTAACAATCAGAAAATTTGGAGGCTTCTTTAAGATTCTCATGTACTCTCATGTGTGAAAACCACTGTCTCAGAGTTACAGGTAAAAATGGGAGGGTCTGTAAACTCCTTGAAATTTCATGTAATTTTTATTTATTTTTCCTGCAGAGAGGATTCCTAGCTTTCATCAGTTCTCAAAAAATGTGTGGCTCCTGCCAAATTAACAAAACCTCCCTTATATTCCATACTAAGATGAAGAATAAAGTCCTACGCCAAAATAAAATGTATTCTTTGGTGCTTTGCACTTTAGCTATAGTGATAAGGTCAATGTTACTTGAGAGGCTAGATAAAATCAAACTGAGTGCCAGCTCAGGTTGGATCTGATCTTAAACCCTCTTATTATAGGAATTTGGCCTATTTCTATTCTCTAAAAATTGATTTTTACAACCAGATGATAAGAGGTTCTAGTATAGAATCAAGGTATTCAGGTGCCCAACTTAGGAAACGGCAAACTTTCTTTGCCTCCATATTCTACCTTAAGGAGACGCATGGACATTTGAAGGATCTAAATGAGATATTTGGTCTTTCTTACCTGGCATATTGCAGTACTTGCCTTGCATTGGGTATATGAGGATTTTCTAGATATAATTAGTTAAAAATATAAGCAAGTAATGTACATTGTGGGATATTAATACATTGTAATTGATAGTGGCAGCAGAGGCAGCATTGTTGTTGGTTGATGTGGAGACTCTGGGTAGGCTGTTGTTCTGTTGACTACGTGTCAGTGTGAAGCTTATGGGTTTCTTTGCTACTCAGGTGGTTCAAGCAGCTGTTGAAATTGTGACTTATGTCACATCAATCTTAGCCTTGTAGGACTCCAAATCTTCAAAAGAATACTTAATCATTATAATCATATAAGTTATTAGCACTGGCTACATATAAGGATTGGGTTCTGCATGTGACCAAATATAGAGAGGTATTACCAACCAAAAGAAAGATTTCATTTTATTTTTTTCCAATTTATCTAATATTATAACAGCTAACACATCTTAAACCATTTTAGTGGGTAATATTTGTTGTTAACTGTGTGCCAAGCATTCTGCTCAGTACTAGGCATAATACTCCCAAGTTAGATACATTGGTATTCTCTCTCAGTTCATTGATTGATACACTCAATTTGGAGAACTTTAACACATCACATTGTATATTTGTCGGTGTAGGCCAATAGCTATAATGAAAACCCTAATATATATGTTTTTTATTTGTTCTAATTAGCCATACATGATAGCAGAATGCACTTCAATTCATTGTACACAAATAGAACACGACTTTTAATTTCTCTGGTTGTACACCATGTATTTCTTGCTTTCTCACATCCAGTCTCATGCAGGTTAGTGGGGATGGAGGGAATAAACGGATTGGAGTTATGTTCCAGCTTTTATTTAGGGTTGCTTCTTTCCTTTTGTGGCTTCACCCTTCTCTGGGCCCTCAGAGTCCTTTCTTCCTAGGTGGCAGATGGGGGGAAGAACATGGGGTTCTTCTTCAAGTGAGGTTTTGCCTGGCTCTACCTCAAAATGGTGCACATTGCTTGTATTCCAGAACTCAGTCACAGGGTCACATGGAACTATGATGGAGGCTGAAAGACAAACTGTCTGGATTTTGGCAAATTGATCTACAAGTTAGAAAGGTCATGTTGCTGTTTTCATCATTGACTCTGGAGCTTTGTTATTGCAGAAAAATATGATCATAGTTTAAAACCAGATCACTCAGGCCTGGATATGTAGCCTGAAGACTAATTGATTTGGTAAATGGCATTTTCTCTATCTCAATGATAGAGGGCAGCTAGCCTCACTTTTAATTGGGAAAGTTGGCAATATACATGTATGGTATTACCACAATGTCATAAAACTTGCCTCCTAATGGCAGAGCATTCTTTGAAACTTATTGGGCACAACACTACTGTTCACTAGATAAATCCATCAGCACATCAATGAATTCCTAATTAATGGAGAGATGGAATGGCGCCACACACTCCAATAGTAATGGTGGATTACATATGATGCATAGAATGGAAAGGTAAATGAAAAAATTTCAATGACTGAGGCTTATTATGTCATTTGAAATTCAGTAGATTAATAAACTGTAAGTTATTACCAATTAGAATAGATTGATGTCATGTATAACCAATTAAAACAAATAAAAAATTTAAAAAAATAAAAAGAATAGATTGATGGCTTTAATACTATCCTTCTTAAAACATGTGATTCTGGTTCTAGAGAATATTTGCATCCCACTTAGGGTACTTCTGGCTGGTGTTATTGAGCTATGTTGGAAACGCATGAATTTGCATGGATAGTGAAATAGTTTCCTGCTCTAGAAAAAAATTAAAGCAGGGTACACATATACATATATCATGACTTTGACATTCTAGGTGGCAAATCTTCATGTCTGCTTGAGTTTGTGCCAAAACCAGGAAAGAGGTCAAATTATGAATTCCAAGAATTCTGAATTGGGTGCTTCCTGGACACTCAGACTTTGAGAAATAGCTGTTAGCATTTTTCTGGTCATGAGTGTCTATTGTAAGGAATGCTATATTTAACTACATAATCTTTGTAGATTCTATGCCAAATTTCTTTTGCAAAAACGTTGTGTATGACTATTATTTGAGACATTTTTTTTAAAAAATGTGTCACTATTACTTAAAAATCATTTTCCCTAAACTCTTTGATGCAAGATTATGATGCATAGAATATTCACGATTATGTGTTAAAATTGAATAGTTCAAATTGATGCATATAGTTTCTTTGTGACAGTTTAGCAAACATTTCTCCAGTCTGAAAAAAAATGTTACCACATTAGTTGCTGTTGATTTGTGCATTATGGTCAAATTATTACACTTGAGAAATATATTATAATGTTGTGAAGTACGGACATAACAAAATTTAATCTTCTATGCCTGTAGATATCTCCACTGCTATCATTGGTTTCATTATCTGATGTGCAGTTCTCAGTGCCAGTCATATAGGATGTGTATTAGTACTGCAGCACTCTAAACAAACAAACCCAAGTTGGCTTTCAGAAATATATTGACAATACATGTATGCTGAGAATTCTAGGCTTGTGGCTTACAATATGTGAGAAGACAAATATGTATCCATATGCCACTGGTGAATACATTGCAGCTCTGTTTACCTTTTCACTGGCACTATGAACAAAATTATACCATGTGATTATGCAATGAAAGGTATAAACCAATTTAGGGGCTAAAAACAGGGTACAACAATTATGTGGTGGTCATGATTATGCAGTGGCAATGGTAATGTAGTAAAATATGGTACTGCAAACATGGCATAAACTATCAGTTGGATATTTCCATTCTGGATTAGGCAGTGTAGGACTTTTGTTCACACAGGGTTGACCAGGCCCAAATGGATTCCATGGACAAGAAGAAATGATATACACAAGAATTGGTTAAGTTGGGCACCACAAAAGTTTGCATCCTCCAGAAAAGTGCCAGATGATATATAAATGAAAATGAGTTAGAGCCCTCCAAGTCTCATACACTTCCCAAAGTAACATGGCTCTGGAAGAACAAGAGTAAGTATGATTTACTGATGGGGCAAATATGTATGTTCATAGTGTAGGCTACTGGAAAGCAGTGGCCACTCACCTAATAATTTGATGCCCTCTGGCAGATGGGAAGATAAGAAAATCAGCTCAGTGGACAGAGACCTAAATGCGACAAATGGAATCTATAAGGAATTTCTAGTTAAGAGGAAAATCATATCACCATGATTTACAGATATTTGGGCTGTCAAAATGGATTTGATATAGTAGCTGGAACCTGTAAAACCCAGGGATGAATTAGTTGGAGAAACTTCTGTTGGGGCAACAACTATGGCAAAACCATGAATAGTATGTTGAACTTATAATTTAGCAAGTTACTGCATTCTAAAGTAAGGTCACCACTTTGGCTCATAGGAATCATGTGGTTCTTCCTTACCAGACAGGTTCTGAACTATAGGATAGAGAAAACGTATCACAATGTTGTTCTGGGTTCAGAGTCACATGGTTCTAATATTTAACAATTAATAAGTACATGCCTGGAATTTGTCTTGCATGCCAACAGTCGCAATCCAATGTCAATCTTCAGTATCATCAAATACTGATTTGAGACGGACATAATTGGCAGGCAAATTGCACAGGACCTACATGGTTACTAATAGGATCTAACCACAGTACACATATTGTTCAAGTGAAAACTTGGATACTTTTAAGCCTATTATCAACTATGCTTCCATTCTCTTAACAAAATCTGCAATTCTCTGCCCGGCTTTATGCCTCAGGGAGGATATTATTTTGAAATATATCATCTAACTTTCCTTGATAGTTGGCATCTACCAAAGAGAGGCCTCAGCAGATGACTGGAGGTAGGAAAAGAAAGTGATCTAGTCTAGCTTACTTGACTCTTTGAAATCTGTGAAGAGAGCACTTGCATGTCTAAGCTTTATACTTACTGTACCTGTTCATTTGTTAAGGGAGATTCAGTCAGTATTGCTCTGAATACTGTTTCCTAATCATTTCCAGGACATACTGTGATATCAGCATAGTGACACTCTTAAGTGAAATGCATTTAGAAGCCCTGTGGCTTTTCATATCTATGATGGCATAAACGATCCCTCAGAGTTTTAATATTTGCCTAGTGTAGTTAACAAGTTATATGTGACAGGATAGTTAGAAAAAAAGTTTATTTAGGAAGGACATAGGGAGGCAGTGTGTCTGTTATGACCAAAAGTTAAGGACTTTAATCAGGTTTTAAAATTTAAATAAAATAAAGAAATCTCAACCATGTAAAAATACTTGGGGATAAAATTAGCCCCAAACATTAATAACACATTATTTTTATTGTTAAAAATTTTTATTTGTTCTTTTTAGTTATACATGACAGTAGAATCTATTTTGATATAATAAGATGTTTTCCATGCTTTTATAAATATAATTAAGATCCTAGACAATAGTACTTATTTTCAATGTGGAGGGATTTAAAGTGTACATTTTACATATTTTTTTACTTTCTGATCTTATTTAAATTTAGCTTGACAGAATTGAGTAGAACAGTGATAATAGGGACAGATAGGGAAGAGTTCGAATTTAATAAACTGACTTTTACCTTTTTATTGCTAAAATCATAACTGTATCATTGTGGACATTGTGTTTTAAAGAAAGAGGATTTATCACTATTAGTCCACTGTGCTGCCCAAAGTACCATAGTCTAGGTGTTTTAAACAACAGAAATTATTTTTTTTTACAGTTCTGGAGGCTGGATGTCTGAGATCATTGTGTCAGCAGGGTTGGTTCTGTTGAGGACTATCTTCCTGGCCTGAAGATGACCACTCTCTTGCTGTGTTCTTACATGGTGGAAGAGTATGGGAGCAAGTTATTTGGTATCTCTGATAAGGATATTGCTGCGAGTAGGACAGGATGGGGTCTGACTTTGAGGAGTTCTAACAAACCAGGTATGCATACTTGCCCAAGAAATCAAATGAATAAAATGATGAAGTAGGAAAGGAATTTATTTAGTATATTTATATTGGGAAAACAGGGGGACAAGCATCCTCAGCTCCACCTTTAGGACTACTGCATGAACTTTATGTTTAAATAGGGAAAGAATTGGGGTTAGAAGCAAGAGGTATGCATAATTAAGCAGTCTTGGTCAAACTGCTCTGGGGGATCATCTTCTGGTTCAACAAGGTCCTAGAGAGGCCATTATTGCTTGAAGTGAATTGCTATTTCACTTCCTATCTCAAGATGATTTCTCCTTCTTTTGTGTGTGTGTGTGTGTGTGTGTGTAGGGGGGCGGGGCTCATCATGGGCTCATCTGTCTGTAAGGCTTGCTGTGCCTGGAAGATTTAGGGCACTAGAAACTTATAGAAACCACCCGGTCTAGAATGACACTGTTGACTATGATTTCCCTGTAAATCTTAAAAAATACCTCAGTTAGTCTTATCTTGTTGTCTCTTGACTATGATGTCCTTGCCAAAAGCAGTATGCTACCTTCTCCACCTGCTTTATTTCAAACATGACTGAATTTACTTTGAAATTAGACTTTTTTTAATTTTGAAATTCACCCTTTCATTAGTCCAAGGCCTTTTGCTAGGGTTATTAGGAATGACCACGGAAGTCAAAGCAAAGAATATGATTATCACCTGAAAGGACAATCTTAGAGATCAATAAGTCTCAAACTTGTCTGTATCCTGGATCATCTGAGGAACACCAAAGTTACTGATGTCAGTATCCTCCAGATATTGTAATTTAATCGGTATGGGGGTATTGCCTGAGCATTGAAAATTTAAATTTAAATTACTTTCCCTAGGTAATTCTATGTGCAGAGGCAGATTTGGAAACCACTAGTATTGATCAGGGATTGGCAAATTATGGCTTGTTGGGCCCATCTCTTGCCAATTTTTACATACTCTATGAGCTAAAATGTTTCTTCAACCTTTTAGAATTATAAAAAACACATCTAAAGAAGAACGGTATTTTATGATCATACTCTGTAGTCAGTGGCCCTTACAAGATTGCAGCTTCTGGGGAAAGAGACAGTGTGTGGTTACTACATTTGATTGTGTATGAGAATGTCAGGTCAGACACTTTGTCTTAATTATAGATTAGTAAAAACAACTCACCCACTATGCCTGTCCACACCTATGCTTTCTTCTAGCAAAACAAAAACATTTATATTCAATATATTTCTTATATGAATGTAAGAAAAACAGCTTTTGTAAAGCTTCTGCATAGCTGAATAAGAGGAAGGAATTTTCCAGCATGTTTCTTTTTAGGTAGTTGCATGTGTGCATGTGTAGTTTTAGTTTCAGCATAGTGAAAATGCATTACTCTCCACAACAAAAGCTTTAATGTGATTTTTTTTTTTTTAGCTTTTTCCAGTGATGGTAGAGGTGGGAGGGGGAGTAGTTGGGTAGTCTTTAGAAAGCTAAATTTATGGTGGTTTGTATTTGTTGTTTTCTTCCATTCATATGAATGAATTATAGGAACAGGCATACAATATGTTTGGCCTTGATATGTATAGGGAATGAAGTCATCCAAACTAGATGACAGAGGCTAGCAGTGTTATCGGTAATGAATTAAATTCAAGTCTACTCAATCAGTAGTGTGGACTAAGTGAATTCCATTACTGTTTAAAAATCATGAGAAACCCCTGGACACTTAGTAGGCTGGTTTAGAACCTCTTCTTTACTCTGTGGCACCCTTGTGTCTATTTATTTCACTGCTTATAACAAATTTGGAAGTAAAGATGCAATCTAACTCCAATCAATAATTATCTATTTTGCTTTTAATCCATACCTGTAGGGCTAATTGGATGTAATATGTGCTTATGCTGCAGTTCAGATGAAAACACTGAAATGCAAAGAGGCTTAAAGATTTGGTCAAAGAAAAGAGCCAAAATAAAAGTCTTCCCATTGTGCAAATAAGCACACAGTACTCCTTCTCTCTGATATTTCATTATTTTAACTCCAAGGCCTCAGGGTCTTTATAACTAAATAATACGTCTTGAATCCAAAATGAGTGATCAAGGGCATTAAAATGGGCGTGTGACAGGACATTTGTCTATAAATAAGTGACTGGCAATGGTTGATGTGATAAAACTTGTAGGTTCAAATATGGTGTTTTAAAACCTAATTAAATGTGGTCTCTGAATTTTATGTACAAATTATCCTTTTAGGAAAGCCATGCTATCTCACTGTGATACTGCAGCCTACTTGGGAAAGCTGCCTTAACTTTAGAGAATAGTTTTCAGCTAAATATAATCAAGTTTTAAAATTTAAATTTCTTTTTCTTTTCTTAAAAGGGTGAATGTTTCAAAGTGGTAAAAAAAAAATTAAAAATACACCATTCCTTTTGAGATGTGAAATGGTTGCCCTAGTTCACCCATAACATTCTGAAAGTTGGGGAGGAGGGGGTGCTACAAGGAAATAGCTCTCTCCTTGTTAAAACAGAATACAAGGCTCCAAGTTTTGGCTTTGGAAACGGTGTCCCTGCTGTGTGTGGTGAAGTGGGTATGGCTTACTCAGTTACTTCATTAGTTCATCTGAACTTCAACTCTTCCCTCTTAAACTCTCTGGCCCAAACAATGATTAGTTGGTGTTTACACATAGGTTTTGTACTGGAATACAGCAGGCAAGTACAATAAGATACAAGCAAGATGAGGACTCTGACTTACAGAGTTCTTATCTTGTCACAGCAAACTTTCTCTCACAGGCTTTCAGACTTCATCCTATCCCATATAGGACAGGGATCTAACCTGTTTCACCTGTTAATCTCTTGGCCCCTTATCTGTCTGCTATTGCACAAAGTTAGTTCCTTTACTGAGGATAGTTTCCACAACTGACTGTAGTGGATGCCATGGTGTTTACTTCAGATTCTCTCTATAAAGGGTTGAAGCTCTCATTCCTTAGCTGTTGTGGCTATTGCTTGCTGATGGTTCTCACCTCATTT